CTAATTTGATAAAAATAATCTATCGAATCGCACAGTATGTCATGAGTTCATCGTACAGTTACAACACGCCTGCCAACTCAGAGCATACAATCGAAGCAAAGGTGCAGATTTTTGAAACGAAACGATGGAATTTTCCTATATAAATGAATGAATGAAAAACATTTATTTTTCCAAAAGTCGATAGAAAGTGCGATTTTCGAATAGGAACACGGAGGCGAAGTCAATAGACTTTTAATCGTGTGCTCACTGCACTAATGAGGAATCATGAAAGCATTGACCATAATTCTAGTGTTCGTTGATATGACTGAATCAGTAAGTGTGATTGAAAAGAATCAGCAAATAAAACAGCCAAAAATTGTGCGCAATGATTTTTGATTTTTTCCGAACTACTACTGCTGATGATGAGCAGTATTTCCAGTTCAGAGGATGTGAAGGTTTTTTATCAAATTAGTTTTGCTGAGCAACGTCACTTTTTAAAAACCATATTATTGTTGTTGATAACGACGACGATGATGCCATTAAATGTGGTTCGGAAAAGTGCTTTAGTATTAAACTATAGTGGAGTGTTTGTCAAAGGGTTTTTGTTGAAAAGTCACATGATTCGAATTAAACGACGAAGGATTTATTGACCATTCACAGTATTACACTTCACCAAAGAAACTGAAATCAGTCGCATTCAATGATGGAAACGATTTGCTTGAGAGCTGCACAGAAGGCGCTTGATGCAGTCCGTTATCTCGACGATATAATTAATCCAAGTTGCTAGAAATAACCGTGCTTTCAGTCAATCATCGTGCTTTCAGCGAAGATTTTTTTGGCTCACGGATAGAACTTCGATCAATGAATATCCTCAAAATCGGTGATAAGCGCATCAATTCTGATAACTGGAAATTATCAATGGGCATTGAGTGGTGTTCTGATTGAACGATAATATTGGTATATGAATGATGATAAGCAATTGATTAGAAACAAAATTGAAACGAATGAAGACAATCTAAAAACGAAACGTTTTCATGAAACGATTAGTATCATGAATGAGAAAGAAGGATCATATGAAACTATGTTCGTAGAACATACCCAATGAACACTGCCGAGCATCTTGAGACAATGGCGTCGCATTGTAATGACGACGAACAAATTAAGGAAATTGCAAGAAGAGGCGATGATCAAAGTAAAACCAAATCACAATCATTAAACTATCACATAACAAAATCAATTAATTAAATGATTGTTCTCTGAGAAATGAATGATTACAATAATGACTGCAGTCGATTCATGAACAGCTCATTTATTATTTTTAGATTTCCATATAACAGTGTAAATTCAATTTTATGAAATCAATCATAGAATGTAAGTCAGAAGAAAATTCACTGAAATATTTCGATGTTTGATGTATCTGAAATATTTTTTTGATGTATTTTGATGTTTAGTAACCAGTACGATATTTACAGAATTAATACGGTTTTTGGTTTCGAATCTTTCCCGGAAGCATCAGAAGTAATCGTGGAGCGAACAAAACTTCACCAAAGAAAGTTCCATATTTTAATGGTATAGATGTTCAATAGAGCGGAGATATCCTTATCTGCCGATATCTCAAGTCGTTGATCATGATTCTGCAGCAATACGAATTGTTGATCTATGAAGATCAAAATTAGAATGACTTGACATCGAACAATCAAAGCTATCACTCTGAGATCAATATTACTGAACAAGATGAGATGCGATCCTATTCCATTTTGATAATTTCATGCAATATTAAATACTCTTATGGATCAATGGAGAGTATGTCATTAATAACCGTTACACAGTGTTCTTGCGGTGCATGTTCCGGTGCATGCTCGGTTTTGTTTTTGAAGTAATTTAATAACAAGGTATTAAACACAAAACAAGACTTTATACAAATTATTCAATTCACACAAAATGACATTGATCAAAATTAGAATGACTTGACATTATCAAAGTTTAGACTTACTCAACTTGCTTACTCATGTGTCACATGATAACAGTTGAGTGCAATCAAATATCTATCATTCAAACAAACATCTCTCATCAACAACACATATACAACAAATATCATAAATTATTCCAATATCACTACCTCGGATATCACTAGAATTCAGTGAAGTTTTCTTCATTTCGTTTCTCGCCCGAATCATGCTTCTTCATCACTTGACTTCGATGAAGGATTGATTGTCTCAGATTGTTTCTCAACCATGAAATGGAACAAAGCCATGTCTATAAAGCTTTTCCTTTGAGAGGTTGTGTTTCAGACGGGTGCTGAGCAGAACGTTGACGAGTCAGGTGGCTGATGGTCACATAAAGAATGACTGTAGAGAGAACCAAAAGAAGTGCTAAATTAAAGGCTATTGATAGTGCCAACGTCTTGCTCTGATTGTTCGATATGGACAGGCTAACGCCTGGAAAACTTTGAGTGGTCGGAGTGGTTGTTGAGCTGTCGTCGAAATGTGCTTTGTGTTTTTTGTGATTCTTTCTTTGACGATAGGACACGGATTTTCGGGTGTTTGACGGACGATCCTGACATGCCTCTCGTACGGTACGCAGTTGACGGTTGGCCTCACAACCGCTGCTTCGTTCCAAATCACGATAGAGCTCCAGATTCTCCATATTCCATTCGTACATCTGCATGCAATGCTCCATCTTGTCACGTCGCATACGTTCCGCATTCCATGCGGACACTTTTCGACGCAGTTCAGGCGTACTGAAATCGTTTTGACCGATTGTGAGCGATTAAGAGAGCGATTCAAGCAAACTTTGTTTGATTCGGTGCAATTTTCTGCGTAGAATGACAGGAATATGAACTGCTTACATTGTGTGATGAAATTTGGCTATGAAATAAACAGGTAGTTGTTTAGATTGAAAGGTTGGCTTAAGATAAGCAGTCGTTGATTTGATAATACCTGTTCCTCAAGTGAATATTCCACATAAATGGAGTGCATGGCTCACGATGCCATAACGGGAGTGTTATGAGTGTGTCAAGTACTTGATGAATTAGCTCCTGAAGCAATCATCACTATGAGACCGCGCAAGCATTTGAGAAGATTCAAATAATTCAGTGATTTGTCAAAGCCACTTTGTGCATTTGCAAAAAACTTGTTACCCATAAAGACCCGTGTCGATTATGATATTGATTTCATAAGAATCGGCGAATTCAGCTAGAAATTTAGTGAACGTTCTAACGCTCTTCAACAATTTTGTGTATCTATTGAGAGCATAAGAGCGTTGTTAAGAGGAGTAAAATGGATGTGTATAAACGAAACGATAACTAACATGATTAGAGAAAGGAATTAGAAATAA